CGTGCATCCATGCCCATCGTGCATCCATGCCCGTCGTGCATCCATGCCCGTCGTGCATCCATGCCCATCGTGCATCCATGCCCATCGTGCATCCACACCCATCGTGCATCCACGCCCATCGTGCATCCATGCCCGTCGTGCATCCATGCCCATCGTGCATCCATGCCCATCGTGCATCCATGCCCATCGTGCATCCATGCCCATCGTGCATCCATGCCCATCGTGCATCCATGCCCATCGTGCATCCATGCCCATCGTGCATCCATGCCCATCGTGCATCCATGCCCGTCGTGCATCCATGCCCGTCGTGCATCCATGCCCGTCGTGCATCCATGCCCATCGTGCATCCATGCCCGTCGTGCATCCATGCCCATCGTGCATCCATGCCCATCGTGCATCCATGCCCATCGTGCATCCATGCCCGTCGTGCATCCATGCCCGTCGTGCATCCATGCCCGTCGTGCATCCATGCCCGTCGTGCATCCATGCCCGTCGTGCATCCATGCCCGTCGTGCATCCATGCCCGTCGTGCATCCATGCCCGTCGTGCATCCATGCCCGTCGTGCATCCATGCCCATCGTGCATCCATGCCCATCGTGCATCCACGCCCATCGTGCATCCACGCCCATCGTGCATCCACGCCCATCGTGCATCCACGCCCATCGTGCATCCATGCCCATCGTGCATCCATGCCCATCGTGCATCCATGCCCATCGTGCATCCATGCCCATCGTGCATCCATGCCCATCGTGCATCCATGCCCATCGTGCATCCATGCCCATCGTGCATCCATGCCCATCGTGCATCCATGCCCATCGTGCATCCATGCCCATCGTGCATCCATGCCCATCGTGCATCCATGCCCATCGTGCATCCATGCCCATCGTGCATCCATGCCCGTCGTGCATCCATGCCCGTCGTGCATCCATGCCCGTCGTGCATCCATGCCCGTCGTGCATCCATGCCCGTCGTGCATCCATGCCCGTCGTGCATCCATGCCCGTCGTGCATCCATGCCCGTCGTGCATCCATGCCCGTCGTGCATCCATGCCCATCGTGCATCCATGCCCATCGTGCATCCATGCCCATCGTGCATCCATGCCCATCGTGCATCCATGCCCGTCGTGCATCCATGCCCGTCGTGCATCCATGCCCGTCGTGCATCCATGCCCGTCGTGCATCCATGCCCGTCGTGCATCCATGCCCGTCGTGCATCCATGCCCGTCGTGCATCCATGCCCGTCGTGCATCCATGCCCGTCGTGCATCCATGCCCATCGTGCATCCATGCCCATCGTGCATCCATGCCCATCGTGCATCCATGCCCATCGTGCATCCATGCCCATCGTGCATCCATGCCCATCGTGCATCCATGCCCATCGTGCATCCATGCCCATCGTGCATCCATGCCCATCGTGCATCCATGCCCATCGTGCATCCATGCCCGTCGTGCATCCATGCCCGTCGTGCATCCATGCCCGTCGTGCATCCATGCCCGTCGTGCATCCATGCCCGTGGTGCATCCATGCCCATGGTGCATCCATGCCCATCGTGCATCCATGCCCATCGTGCATCCATGCCCATCGTGCATCCATGCCCATCGTGCATCCATGCCCATCGTGCATCCATGCCCATCGTGCATCCATGCCCATCGTGCATCCATGCCCATCGTGCATACATGCCCATCGTGCATCCATGCCCATCGTGCATCCATGCCCATCGTGCATCCATGCCCATCGTGCATCCATGCCCATCGTGCATCCATGCCCATCGTGCATCCATGCCCATCGTGCATCCATGCCCATCGTGCATCCATGCCCATCGTGCATCCATGCCCGTCGTGCATCCATGCCCGTCGTGCATCCATGCCCGTCGTGCATCCATGCCCGTCGTGCATCCATGCCCGTCGTGCATCCATGCCCGTCGTGCATCCATGCCCGTCGTGCATCCATGCCCATCGTGCATCCATGCCCATCGTGCATCCATGCCCATCGTGCATCCATGCCCGTCGTGCATCCATGCCCGTCGTGCATCCATGCCCGTCGTGCATCCATGCCCGTCGTGCATCCATGCCCGTCGTGCATCCATGCCCGTCGTGCATCCATGCCCATCGTGCATCCATGCCCATCGTGCATCCATGCCCATCGTGCATCCATGCCCATCGTGCATCCATGCCCATCGTGCATCCATGCCCATCGTGCATCCATGCCCATCGTGCATCCATGCCCATCGTGCATCCATGCCCGTCGTGCATCCATGCCCGTCGTGCATCCATGCCCGTCGTGCATCCATGCCCGTCGTGCATCCATGCCCGTCGTGCATCCATGCCCCTCGTGCATCCATGCCCCTCGTGCATCCATGCCCATCGTGCATCCATGCCCATCGTGCATCCATGCCCATCGTGCATCCATGCCCATCGTGCATCCATGCCCATCGTGCATCCATGCCCATCGTGCATCCATGCCCATCGTGCATCCATGCCCATCGTGCATCCATGCCCATCGTGCATCCATGCCCGTCGTGCATCCATGCCCGTCGTGCATCCATGCCCGTCGTGCATCCATGCCCGTCGTGCATCCATGCCCGTCGTGCATCCATGCCCGTCGTGCATCCATGCCCGTCGTGCATCCATGCCCGTCGTGCATCCATGCCCATCGTGCATCCATGCCCATCGTGCATCCATGCCCATCGTGCATCCATGCCCATCGTGCATCCATGCCCATCGTGCATCCATGCCCATCGTGCCCGTCGTGCATCCATGCCCGTCGTGCATCCATGCCCATCGTGCATCCATGCCCATCGTGCATCCATGCCCATCGTGCATCCATGCCCATCGTGCATCCATGCCCATCGTGCATCCATGCCCATCGTGCATCCATGCCCATCGTGCATCCATGCCCATCGTGCATCCATGCCCATCGTGCATCCATGCCCATCGTGCATCCATGCCCATCGTGCATCCATGCCCATCGTGCATCCATGCCCATCGTGCATCCATGCCCATCGTGCATCCATGCCCATCGTGCATCCATGCCCGTCGTGCATCCATGCCCGTCGTGCATCCATGCCCGTCGTGCATCCATGCCCGTCGTGCATCCATGCCCGTGCATCCATGCCCGTCGTGCATCCATGCCCGTCGTGCATCCATGCCCGTCGTGCATCCATGCCCGTCGTGCATCCATGCCCGTGGTGCATCCATGCCCGTGGTGCATCCATGCCCGTGGTGCATCCATGCCCGTGGTGCATCCATGCCCATCGTGCATCCATGCCCATCGTGCATCCATGCCCATCGTGCATCCATGCCCATCGTGCATCCATGCCCATCGTGCATCCATGCCCATCGTGCATCCATGCCCATCGTGCATCCATGCCCATCGTGCATCCATGCCCATCGTGCATCCATGCCCATCGTGCATCCATGCCCATCGTGCATCCATGCCCATCGTGCATCCATGCCCATCGTGCATCCATGCCCATCGTGCATCCATGCCCATCGTGCATCCATGCCCATCGTGCATCCATGCCCATCGTGCATCCATGCCCATCGTGCATCCATGCCCATCGTGCATCCATGCCCATCGTGCATCCATGCCCATCGTGCATCCATGCCCATGCCCGTTGGGCATCCATGCCCATCGTGCATCCATGCCCGTCGTGCATCCATGCCCATCGTGCATCCATGCCCGTCATGCATCCATGCCCATCGTGCATCCATGCCCATCGTCCATCCATGCCCATCGTGCATCCATGCCCATCGTGCATCCATGCCCATCGTGCATCCATGCCCATCGTGCATCCATGCCCATCGTGCATCCATGCCCATCGTGCATCCATGCCCATCGTGCATCCATGCCCATCGTGCATCCATGCCCATCGTGCATCCATGCCCGTCGTGCATCCATGCCCGTCGTGCATCCATGCCCGTCGTGCATCCATGCCCGTCGTGCATCCATGCCCGTCGTGCATCCATGCCCGTCGTGCATCCATGCCCGTCGTGCATCCATGCCCGTCGTGCATCCATGCCCGTCGTGCATCCATGCCCGTCGTGCATCCATGCCCGTCGTGCATCCATGCCCCTCGTGCATCCATGCCCCTCGTGCATCCATGCCCCTCGTGCATCCATGCCCGTCGTGCATCCATGCCCCTCGTGCATCCATGCCCGTCGTGCATCCATGCCCGTCGTGCATCCATGCCCATCGTGCATCCATGCCCGTCGTGCATCCATGCCCATCGTGCATCCATGCCCATCGTGCATCCATGCCCATCGTGCATCCATGCCCATCGTGCATCCATGCCCATCGTGCATCCATGCCCATCGTGCATCCATGCCCATCGTGCATCCATGCCCATCGTGCATCCATGCCCATCGTGCATCCATGCCCATCGTGCATCCATGCCCGTCGTGCATCCATGCCCGTCGTGCATCCATGCCCGTCGTGCATCCATGCCCGTCGTGCATCCATGCCCATCGTGCATCCATGCCCATCGTGCATCCATGCCCGTCGTGCATCCATGCCCATCGTGCATCCATGCCCATCGTGCATCCATGCCCATCGTGCATCCATGCCCATCGTGCATCCATGCCCATCGTGCATCCATGCCCATCGTGCATCCATGCCCGTCGTGCATCCATGCCCATCGTGCATCCATGCCCATCGTGCATCCATGCCCGTCGTGCATCCATGCCCATCGTGCATCCATGCCCATCGTGCATCCATGCCCATCGTGCATCCATGCCCATCGTGCATCCATGCCCATCGTCGACACAGAAGCCCAGCAAGCGAGCACAAATGTGAGGGAAGCGCAGCGCACGGCACGCAAGGCAGAGAGGGGGCATCTGGCCGCACGACAAGCAGGGTAGCGGATGGGCAGAGCAAGATATGGCATCACATGGCAAGGCAGGGGCTCCTGGTAGCACCGCATGGCACGCCGCAGGCCATCAGCTCAGCATACCACAGCCTGGCACCACACAGCACCGCACAGCACCGCATACCCCAGCGTACCTGGTAGCAGCGCACGACATGGGGCGAGCGGCACTGGTGGTTGATGCGCAATTCGTTCCCCACGTGCTTCTGCACATCAGCATCCATGTTCAACTGCATGTCCTTCAGTGCGTACTGCTGCCCCGTGCGCGCATGCTGCACCAGGTACACTGCTGCACTCGCCCCCCGCCCCAGCAGCTCCACCTTTCTCAGATCAGCCAAGCGCAATGAGTTGTCCTGCTGTGAGGGGACGGAAATGTGGGCGGGGGAGAAGGAAAGGCTAGTTGTCTTGGGGCTAAGGGAAAGAGGGAAAGGAAAGCACGTGCTGCACCAGGTACACTGCCGCGCTTGCCCTCCGTCCCAGCAGCTCCATCTTTCTCAGATCAGCCACGCGCAATGACTTGTCCTGCTGTGAGGGGGAAGGAGGGTTGGGTGGAAGGGAGGGGGAGAAGGGAGGGTGAGTTGTGGTGCTGGGAGGGGTGGGTTAAGAAGGAGGTGGGAAAGCGGAGGGAAGGTGAAGGTGAAGCACAAGTGGTGAAATCGGTGCAGGTGGCAAGTGGAGGGAGGAGTGGGAGGAAGACAGAGGGGGGAAAGGAACCTACCTACCTGGAAGGATCCACTGTCTACTAATGCTTTCCCGCACCTGTGCCTTGGCACTCGTACTCCAAACCTGTGCTTTGGTATCCGAACCTGTGGCAACCAATCCTGACCTGCTGCTGCTGATCCGGCACTCTAAGTCCCCCTCTCCCCACGGCCACGTGACCAAAGTTGGCCGTGCCACTGTCCGTGCTGTGAGGGGACGGGGGAGGGCACGCGGAGGGGGAGGCGGAGGTAGGGGAAACGTGGAGAGGGAAAGAGAAGATTTTTGAGACGTCTTAAGAGGGCAGTCTGTCTGAGCTCCCCTCTCCCCACGAGGGCAGATAAGCGGAGAAGGCAGACAAATGGGGGGGAGGAAGACCAGAGGGGAAGGCACATGAGGGAGAGGGGATGAGGAGGAAGAGAAGAAGGGAAGGCAGATGGGGAGACAGGCAGAGGAGTGGGGGAGCCGGAGGGGAGGTGGGAAGACATTGCAGGCGGCTGCTTGCATGATGGAAAAACGGCAGCGGCAGAGGCGGGAAAACCAGCGAAGGGTGGGGAGCGGCGGGAAGGACAGGCGAGGAGAGAGGGAGAGGCGCGGGGAGAGAGAGGCGCGGGGAGAGAGAGGCGAGGGGGGAGTGTTGGCGCGGGGGAGCTTACAGGAAGTTGAGGTTGCTGTCTTCCGCGGTCTGCGGAAAACGCGCGCGCGAGGCGGGGGAGAGGATGCGGGGAGGACGGGGAGAACAATGGCGAGGGTAAGACACGGAGACACGGCCGAGGACAACGGATACGGCAGCAACACGTAGCAACAGGCAGGCAAAAGGCAGCAACAGGCAGACAACAAGCAGCAGCGGCTGAGGTCAGCAAGCACGGCGTGCAGCGGTGGTCGCGCTGCCGTGGCGAGCTAGCATTGGCGCGCTACGAGACGAGGCGCGGAACTCACTCTGCCTGGTAATTGAATGCCGAAGCCCGGCACGTCCAGCATTGGCGGGAAGTCGTCGTCCATAGCTGCTTATTATTAAATAAAAGAGGCCTAGTCTGTGCTACTGATATGTTGTTTGATTATTAGGTCGTGTTCGCTAGTTTTTGAAATTACAAAACAAACTAATAGTTTAAGTGTTTCGTCTTAACATAGGTCGCGTGGCCTAATGGATAAGGCGCTCGCCTCCGGAGCGGGAGATTGTGGGTTCGAGTCCCACCGTGATCGCGAATTTTGCTTGTTGGCGTTGTTAGCTGCTTGCTTCAACCCAAATGAGTACATGCATGTCTAAGTGGAGAAAGAGACTAATTGTGATGCTTGCGGAGGAGGTGCTATTGCTGCATTTTCATTACAGATGGCCCTAGCTCTTCCAACACAAACGTTTACGCACATCACCAACACATGTCATGCATGCACCCTCCACCTATCCTCCCATGAAATCACCGCACAGCATCTATCATCCCCCCCCCCAACTCCTCCCCTCCACTGCCTGTCCTGCTGGCACCACACTCCCTCCCTCCTCCTTTATCCTGCACTGCACAACTGCACTCCCTTTCCTTCTGCAACAATCATCCCTTCATGTTCCCTTTTAGCAGCAATCCCACATCTCTTCTCCATTTGGGTGTAGGGCACTCCCCCCTCCCCTCTCTCTCGCTCCGTGTACGGCACATACATCACCACCACATGCACGCGACCGTGTGTGCTCGCACTCTCACGGGAGGGCTTGGCCACCTCTCTAACCTCCTGCTCTCCCCACATCCCCAATGCAGGAGGAGGGAGGGAGTGAGGGACTGGGGGGACAGGCAGAGGAGGGAGTGAGTAGGCAGGAAGAAAAGGAGAGATTCACTCAAACTCTCCTCCTCTTCCTGCCTATTCACTCCCTCCTCCGCCTGTCCCCCCAGTCCCTCACTCCCTCCCTCCTCTTGCACCCCCAAGCCCTCACTCACTCCACCTGAGTTGATCAGAACCTCAACCAGCCCCCTCATACGCTCAGCCATCCCCCTAAAATCTTCTCCCGTCCGGTCTGCCTCACGCCTGCTCCCCTTCTCTTTTAGCAGCCCTTCTTTAAGCTCTTTCACCTCCTCCTTTTTAAACTTCAAACTGGCCCTGAGGACGTTGTTAGCCCATTGAGCCTCTTCCCTTTGTTTCCTCTCCCTCTCGAGGCAGCATGTGGGCTCGTACCGTGTGGAGCGGCAGCATATGGGCTCCAATGAACTCCGACTTCTCAAACCGCTCGCTGTCCATCAGCCTGATCGTCAGCTGCTGTGCCTGTGGGTCCTCCACCTGTGCCAGGGGGTGAGGGGTGAAGTGTGAAAGGGGGAAAGAGGGAGTGAAGAGGAGTCGCATGGATGAGGGGACAAGGGGGTGAGAGGAATGAGCATGAGCTGGATGGTCAGCTGCTGCGAGTCTGGGTCCTCTACCTGCTCGCATGGTGTGGAGGGAGAAGAAGAAAGCGTGAGAAATCGGTTTGAAGGGGCCGTAGGATAGTGCAGAGCAACAGAGGCATGCAGTGGGTATGTGGGGAACATTTTCAGTGCAGAATGATGCACGGGGCAGGCATGCTGCATGCCAGCAGATGCATGCAGCGCAGGGGCTAGTCGTTCAACCATTACTGCGAGTTCTGAGAAGTCTCAGAACTCGCAGGGTACTGCACCGCGCGGTATTGTTTCATTCTGAAGATTAGTGCAGTAATGGAGGCTACAGGACCTTTGAGGCGCCTAAAAAATGATGGAGGCTACTGCACCGCGCGGTGCTTTCAGTTTCCACTAGTGATACTACACCAGCGCACGCACCCCTCTTCATATCAACGATTAACACCCACTTCAAAGCAGTGCTTTGTTGCTCCTTCCACTTCTTACGCCAGGAGTGAATCTCCCTCACCTCAAGAATAAACCCTTCGTTCCACGTGGGGTGGCGGGAGTGGTGCACGGTGCTGCTGCGCTTGATACCCCCCTCCCGCTGCCGCACGTACAGCAGCACGAACGGGTCAGCCGCCCCGGTCAGCACGTCCGTCTTGGGGAGCCCCTCCGCCTCTATCAGCGACACGTCTAGGTACCCCACTGGGGTGAGCTCGAGGAAACTGGCGGAGAGGGAGCGCATGGTTAGGGAAGAGAGGGGAGACGGGGCAAGCAAGGGGATGAATATGTGGAGAAAATGAGACCGCAGCCCCTGTGAGCACGTCCGTCTAGGTACCCCACTGGGGTGAGCTCGGGGCGGGAGGCCCTGAACTCTGCCTCTGTAACAAGGCATTTACTGAACCCTGCCCTCCATGACAGGGCAATACTTGAAGACAATTTCCGTCAGGCATAAACTGAACTCAACCTCCATCACAGGGTAGCATTCTGGATATACCCTCCATAACAGGGTAGTACCTGAAGTCACCCTCCATGACAGGGTACTGCCTGTAAGTCACCCTCCACGACAGAGTACTACCTGAAATCATCCTCCATGACAGGGTACTACCTGAAGTCACCATCCACGACAGGGTACACCCATCGCGAGGGCCACACGAGGGAATCGTCGATTGACAGGCGCAACACCGTCTGTGCCCGGGGGGGTGGGGGGAGATGCGGGGAGAAGTGGGCTCAAGGGACGGATGCAGTGAGATGCATGGGATGGGAGGGGCGGGGTGGGAGAGATGGGAGAGTGGAAAGGATTGGGTAGGGAGGAGGGGTTGGGGAGGGAGGGAGTGGGGTGAGAAGGGGCGGGGAGGGATGGTGAAGGTGCACAGCAAAGCAGGAGGCGTGGCAAAGCAGGAAGGCATCGCGTCTGTGCTGTAGATAATCATGCTCGAGTGCAATGCTGCGAGCAGGGGGCTAGAGCGCGCGTATCACCTCGATCATCTTCTCAAATCCTGGCATGGCCTTGAGATTGCCTCCCATCACTGACACCTTGAAGTCAAAGAACGGCTGCCCGGGGGAGAGGTGAGGGAAAGGCGAACGGGAGGAGGGTGGAATGGAAGTGGGGATAGAGGATGGGAGAGTGGATGAGAGAGGGGCTGGGAGCATGCAGAGGATGCAGTTGAAAGACACCACTACTGCAGCACACTGGAATTGGCTTTTAGAATTCCGCTACAAAGCAGTTCCAACTCAGATGGTTGAGCAGCAACATCAGCTTCTCCGAAAAACTTCATAGAATTTCCATTTTTTTTTTTTTTTATACATGTTTAGATATATTAACACACCTGGTTAAGCAGTGACAGCAGCACGGCACCAAAGCCCGGCAGACGGGGCAGCAGCGGCTTGAGAGTGAGTTTGAGCGTGGCAGCAGCAGCGATGCTGCTCACTTGCACGTCCACGTCTGGGCTCATGGCCGTCTGCACTCTCAGCCTCATGCTGCGCTCCTGCACCCGCCCCTCCACCCACTCCACTGCCACCTATGCTATCACCTCGCCTGCTGCTGCTTCCTCTGTTGCTCCCTTCTCTGCTGCTCCTCCCCTCTTCCCTTCGCCTTCTCCCTCGCCCCCCTGCTCTTGCTCCTTCGCGTCTGCCCCACCCCTCATTTCCTCCCAAACTCCCTCCCCCTCTCCTTCTCCCTTCCCCTGCCCTTCTCCCTTCCCCTGCCCCTCACCTTTCCCCTGCCCTTGCTCCTCCCTCTGCCCCATCCCCTCCCCCTGCCCCTCCCCCAACACTTGTGCCTCTGCACCACCACGAATCCGCCTCTCCGCCTGCTCCTTTGCCTCTGCCACCGTTACCACTCTTTCACCCCCCTCTCCTCCGCCTCCCCCCCCACCTCCCTGTGCGGAGCCCTCTTCCTGTCCCGCTCTGCCGCTCTGCGCTTCCCTCTTCGCCCCTCCATTGTCCGCCCCGCCACTGCGCACTCGCACAGCTAGGGGATGCCGGGAGGGTTGCCGGGAGGCAAGGATGATGAAAGAGTTTTAGAAACCACGTATATATATATAAATATGTATATATATGTATATATATGTATATGGAGTACAACACACCCACACACCACATGGCCAGCACGCACCAGTGATAGTAGGGGGATCAGGTCCCAGGTCCACAGACCGCACGTCAATGCCGGTGATGATGCCCAAGTGGTACCCCTCGAACAGACCCCTCACACCACACCACACACCACAGCACGCACGGGTGACCGTGAAGCGGGTATCAGCTCATACCCACCGGTGATGGTGGGCGGGTCGGGTCCCAGGTCAACGGATCGCACATCAATGCCGGTGATGATACCGAAGTGGTAACCTTCAAACAGACCCCTCAGGCTGCTCTTCAGCATTTCCGTGCTTGCTTTGCGCAGCTCTGGCCACATCTGCCGCACTGCCGCATTCACCCATGCCAACTGCAAACAGAATGACCCCACATCACATGCATGCAGTAAGCCACAAGTAATGAGTGCCGCCGAATAGAGTGACCATGAATCTTTAGGAACCTACAAAATCTAATGCCGGTATGCTGCACTGAAATATGCACAGGTAATGAGCGCCCTCAAGTGGAATTCCCTAAACCCTGCGAACATTACCTGAAAGTTATGCAGCTTCTGGCATGAGGATGTGCAATTGCCTTCGCTAAACCCGGCCAGTCGAAGAATCTCATCGACTGACATTTCCCAGTCCATCCGTTGCAAAACAAGGGCCTGCACACGCACTCCAAAATGATTTTGCACATCTACAATCATGAAATTGAAACCCTTTCTATTGCTGAATTTCAATCATACATAAAAGAGCTACATGTGTAACGTCACTGTACAATACCATCCCATCCCCAGCATATTTCCAAACCACTTTACTCGCACTGTACCTTCCTTTCTCTCTGCCGCGCATTAGCCCCAGCGGCATCAGCACAAGCACCAGCACGACAGCAAAACACGCGGAAGCGACCTGCGCGCTCGCCAGGACTGCGGGGAGCCGCCGGCGCGCCTCGCCGTACAGCGCGGAGAGGCGGGCGCGGAGAGAATCGCGCATGTCCCGGTAGTAACGAGACGATAACGAGCTGAGTTGAGATGTTTTCTTTTCTCTGGGGGGGGCTTCCGTGATCCCGCTATGGCTTGGTACTACTCCTTGGTTCTAGCAGACCGATGTGAAGAGTCGACGGAGCTGCGGTGATAACAAGCCAAGGGAAAACGAGTTGAGCTATCGGCGAAACGAAGAACGAGCACATGTGACTACCACAAACGCAACGGACAGATGATGTGAAAGGCGTAGCTGCTGCCTTGATGGAGCGGGATTCACCGGATGATGAACGCGTGGAGTGGAGAGATGACACGAGTTCGCGTTCCTGCGCTTGAGCACCATCCGAAGTCTGGACATGTCTGTAACTGGCTGTGGATGCATCGGCGTATGCGGTGCGGAAACACACACTGCGCTCTTCACTTCACATTCACAGTCACACACCTCTCCAAGCCAAGCCATAGCTGGCATTCGAGTGATCGACGAACGAGAAAGGAGAGGGAGGAGAGGGAATGGAATTGGAAATGGCGGTGGCGATTAGCGACGTTTGAGGGGAGGTGCTAGTACGCGGCTCGCGCTGCATGCCGTCGAGTGCGCTTTCAACGACACGCGTCACATGCTGCACAAGGAGTAACTTGAACGAACAGGTTGAATAGATAAAGCTACACCCATGAGCACATTAATTATACCCTATTCCAAATTCCAGAGCATCTATATAGGGAGTAGCCTGCAATTTGCAAGCCATAGGTTTTCCTTTTCAGGCAACAACCATATCAAACCATCAAGTTTCTCGGGGTGCAAAGGATAACCCTTGTCAATGCGGTACGTTTGAATCTGAATAAGAGATATTTATGGCGTGCTTGGAATGGAAGAATGCATGGTGAGGTTCAGTGCCTCGCACCCGATTGCTGGGACAGGGAGGGTGAACCTGCAGCAGGAAGGAACAGAAGGCAGGAGAGAGAAGCGAGCAAGAAATGCAGGTTATTGGAACAGCTGACACACATAGGAGGGAATAGACATCATGTAGTGAGTGCGATGTTAATTCGTATGGTTTGGCTGATGCAGCCAGCAGCACGGCATACCTACCTGAAGCGTGATGGTTATTAGCAGAGTGGCTGGCGCCTGAACCTGACTGGGCCTGCTGGGACGGCGGCATGGCGGCTGCTGCTGCCACTATGCTCTCAAGCCCACCGTCCCACTGCCAGTGGGTGTGTGCGAGGGAGGAGCATGGGGGGCACGGGGGGATATTTCAGTCGAATGAAGAGTCAGATTGCTGCTGCTGCCACTATGCTCTCAAGCCCACCATCCCACTGCCAGCAAAAAGGAGGGAGGGAGGCGCATGGGTGCGGGGAAGAGTGAGAGAGGATAGAGGGCCTGATCTGACACAGTGCTGATTGTGTGAACCCATTATTCTGTTCTAACACAGAGCTGCCCATTCCCAACCTCACACTGCACGCCCCCACCTCACACTGCACACCCCCACCTCACACTGCACACCCCCACCTCACACTGCACACCCCCACCTCACACTGCACACCCCCACCTCACACTGCATGCCCCACCTCACCTCACACTGCATGCCCCACCTCACCTCACACGGCACGCCCATGTGCGGGAGGCCCCCCTCTCCACCTCCCCGCCCCCCCCACCCCTGCCCCTCCCCCCCCCCCCCTGCGCCTACCCCATTCATGGCATCCAGCTGAGCCTGCAGCTGCTCCATCGTCAGCTCCCCCAACCCCTCCCCCCCGCCTCCCCCCATCCCCCCTCCGCCTCCCCCCATTCCTCCCCCGCCTCCTCCCATCCCCCCTCCGCCTCCCCCCATCTCCTCCCCACCAACCCCTCCCCCTCCTGTTCCCCCTCCCCCAGCGGTTCCCCCGAAGGCGGGGTGGGGCAGGTGGCGGGAGAGGAGGAGGCGGGCGAGGTCAGTGGGGAGGGAGGCCATGTCCGGGTGCAGGGCGGCCGCTGCTCCCAGTGACGCTGATGGTGACGGCGTGGCCATGGGCGATGCCGTGCTGTGATGGGCCGTCTGGGAGACAGGAGGGAGAGGCGGGAGAGAGGGAGAGGATATTTCTAGTCAACAAAAAAAACCGCTCCCATTGCTGCTGATGCTAGTGCTGATGGTGATGGCGTGGCCATGGCCGATGCTGTGCTGTGATGGGCCGTCTGGGAGACAGGAGGGAGGGGGACGGAGAGGGTGGAGAGTGGGGAGAGGGGTGAGACGGGGGAGAGGGGAAGAGCAGGGAGAGGGTAGGTGCGGCAGGATAAGAGGGTGAGAGGATTGAAGGGGGGACGTGTTGTGTAGAGAATAACATGGGACTGGAAGGGAGTGTTCAGAATGGTTTAGAGCTGACATGAGCAATCATGAGAACTGACATCATCAATCATGAGACAAGCATCAGCCATCGTGTGAGCTGACATGAGCCGGCCGTAGCTTGACATCAGAAGGCGTTACTGTCGACACGAGCACGCGTGCTCACTCACATCAGTGGTTGACCAATCGTGAGACTGGGAGCAGGACGGAGATGCCTGCCGGAACGATCCCCCGGCAAGGGCAGTTGCAGCCACAGCGGCAGCACCAGCACTACCAGCAGAACCACCAGAAACGCCCGCACCAGCAGAAGCACCACCAGCAGCGGCACCCCCACCCATAGCAGCGACATTTCCCCCACCACCTGTTGCTCCTCCCCCTGCGCCAGCAGCAGCAGCAGAAGCAGGGGCGGAGGGGAGTAGCAGCCCTCCCAGTGCTGCCATCTGAGCCGCACAAAAGTCGGCGGGTGAATCTGAGCCGTCCATCTCTGCTGTGTCCTGCTCTATTGCTGCTAGCTTGGCCGATAGCAGCTGGGGGAATGACGGGGTAAAAGAAAAGGGAGAGGAGGTTGGTATGGTAGAAAGTAATAACGGTGAGGCTTCCAGGAAAGAGGATGGGAGTGGGGTTGGGAGAGCGAGGAGTGGAGGAGAGGAAGAGAGGGCGCAGATGTGAGGGGTTTGATTGGGGGGTGGGCCAGATGTGCAAGTGTGACATCTTTCTTGTGTTGGGCCAGAGGGGAGCGATAAACAGTGAATGAGATGAAATCACTGAATCTGGGGCTCACCTCGACTCGACCTGCAGCTGCAGGGATTGAGGTGATATGGTGACTTTTGAGTCGACTCAAAAGTCACCAGGGATTGAGGTGATATGCACATAATTGCTCCCAAACACTCAATCCCTCACCGGATTCCTACAAGTCCCCCCAGGAGTACTCAGCACTACACTACTCACCTCCACCTGCAGCTGCAGCGAGCGCACATAATTGATAATCTCGTCCAGCATCACTGCCTTGCCCGTTGCCTGGTGTGATACCAGTACATGCCATGCATGCACACACCATACATGCCACCATGCATAGAACCATACATACAACCATGCATACAACCATGCATATCACATCACCATGCAAACATTGGAAGGAGCAAGGGATGAGAAGAAGCATTGAGCCGCTACTCTACCCTCACCCACCACGAGGGGCCTGTATGGTATGGCGTATTAGATAGTGCAGTTCAAGGAATGAGGGTGAAACCGAGAGCATGGGTTGGAGGCAGGGAAATGGGAAGTGCCCACACCTTGGTGCATGTGGGAACAAGGCTTTGGAGCACGGGGGTGGAACAGAGAGCACGGGCTGGAGCCTGGAGACAGGGGAGTAGAGGAAGTGTGCGTGCATACCTTGGTGCAGGTTGGAACAAGGCTCTGGAGCACTTTCATTCGATCGCTGATCTTCTCCCGCCGCACCTGCACAGCACCACAGAACATCAAGGGTGTTGGCCGGCACGGCAAGCAAAGGTTTTTGAACAGCACAGTCCGTCAACAAGACAGCAGAGCAGCAGGTAACGTGGATGGCAGAGCGCACCATCAGTTTGTCCAGTCCATTAATCCTTACATTCGCTTTTTGAGTCGAGTCAGAAGTCAGCTTTCCACCCCATCATTTCTTCCAGTCAATTATTCCTTACGTCTGCCCTCTCAACCCAGCTCGACCTCTCACCCCAGCCACGCTTCCCCCCCCATTCCCCCCAGCCTCCCCTCAACCCTCCCCTTTCCCCAACCTCCCTAACGCCATCACTCACCCTTTCGGCAAGGCTATGGCTGTCAGTGGCCTGCCCTCGCCTCGCGCGCACATGAATATAGTCCTGGCTCGATGTTTCCATCGCCCCCGCCTGCATGCTCCCCCCCATCCCCCCGCCCTGCATGCTGTACCCGCCCCCCGGGCTCCCCCCCCACGCCCCCGCGCTTCCCTTCCCCCCGCTGCCCGCGCTCCCGCCCCCTCCCCCGCCCCCTCCGCGCCCCCCCAGGCGCGCCCCGCCATCCAGCGCGTCCTCTGGCTCCCTCTGCTCTTGGGGGATAGGGTGACGGGGAGGAGACATCAGGGGGAAGGGGGAGGCACAAAATGGGGAGGAGGGAAGCGGTGAGTGGCGGGACACATGGTGCTTTGCGAGTTGACCCAGGAGTCTCCGTCCCCCCATGCTCATGCACAGGCAACAAGACGCAGCAGGAACGAGTGCAGCCAGGCACGAGCACAGGCAGGCACATGTTACTGATTAAAGTGAATCTTGCAATGCGCCAGTACCTTGCCACCTCCGCCGCTCCTTCCAGCCACGTCAGCACCCGCCCCCACTCCCCCCGGAGCCCGGCGCTTCTTCCTCTTGTGCCCCGCGCCCGCCCCATGCTGCCCGCTCTCCCCCTCCGACTCAGACGACTCCCCCTCGCCCCCGCGCCCCTCCATTCCGCTTCCCCCCGCGCCCCCGCTCATGTCCTCCGCCACAGGGGGGGGGCAGCTGCTAGTGCGGGAGAGCTTAGTGCGCTCCCTTATAAGAGCCGCCATAGATGGTACTGTTGACGATAAATACCCTGCCATGCTACCGCTGCCCATGCCCATGCTGCCACTGCCCATGCTACCCATGCTACCGCTGCCCATGCTCCCCAGCAGCCGATGTAAGTGCAATTCCCGGTCCGGGCTCGTCGCCACCGAGCCTACTGCCGAGCTTGTTGCCGAGCCTGAGGCCGCGCCTATGCCCTGGTACGGCAGCGTCAGCCCCACGTGCGGGGAGACGTCCGGTGACATGGCATCGGGGAGCAATCGGTAGAGCCTCTCCAGCTCTGCCACGTCACCGATGCTGGCGAGAAGCGCGCCAAGTGGCGGCGCGCTGTTGGTCCGCGAGAGGGGGTTGTTGTCGTCCATTCGGCCGTCAAGCTGGGCGGCTAGCAGGCTCAACTGCGTCTGCAGGTTCATACCTGGTAACCCGCCACCGCTGCCGCCGCCGCTGCCGCTGCCGTCGCTGCTACTATTCAAAGCAGCGAGCCCTGCCATTCCCCCAATCCCCGCCATTCCCGCCATCCCCGCTCCCCCTACATTCCCCAATGCCCCCATGCCGCCTCCACCGCCAGCAAAGCCGCTCTGCATTCCCCCTAGCCCTGCAAGTCCCGCTGCGCCCCCCCCTGCTGCTCCCCCGCCCGCCCCTCCCCCGATCGCCCCCAACATCAGCTGCTGCTGAATGCTCGCGGGCAGACCGGCTCTCGGCCAATGCCCCAGACCGGCTGCCCGCGACCCGGAAAAGTTTCCTCTCGGGCTGCCCAGCTTGCCCGCGGCAGCGTTGGCGACGGCAGCAGCAGCGGCGGCGTTCCCTTTGGGAGACGGCAGGGGCAGCGGAGGCACGCCGTGCCCCCCTGCTCCGCGAGAAGATATCCCCGCTTTAGACGGATCTACTGTAAGCGATTGCAGATGACCGGCGCCACCAGCACCAGCTACGCCTCCTCCGGACCACCCTGGCAGTCCCGACCCGCCCCGAACGAGACCTCCCCCGGATATACCTCCCCCAGGTATACCTCCCCCTAGACCCAGCCCCCCGCCAGCATCCCCGCCTGCTGCTAGTGCAGCAGCAGCCGCCGCAGCAGCCGCGGGGGAAAACCCGGGGAACGCTCCTGCTTGCGCCGCGGGTGGCGCATTGGCGGAGGCGGAGGGGTACGGGGGAGGGGTGACGTGGAATCCGAGGTCCGCCGCGGCTTGGCTGAGGCGCGCGGCGCTGAGACTGAGCGTGCGCTGCTGGCTGAGGTTGCTCTTGGTCCGATTAGGGTTCGCCTCCTCGTCGCGACTGAAACGCGATGGCGAGTGCACGGCTGCATGTCGCGGCGGGAAGGGAGGGAGGAAGGGGGGCGGGGGTGGGGAGGTGGGGGTGGGGTGGGGTTGGGAGAACGGAGCAGAACGACCGAGACTGTAACTTAGAAAGCCAAGAAAGAAATGCGTGACAGCAAGTGCAAGGCTGGAAACTGGGTTGAGGGGGAGGGGAGAGGGGGGGAGAGGGCGGATAAGTTGAGAAGAGCAAAAATCGAATTGAGAAAGGGGAGAGGAGAGATCTTATTGAAGAGGAGCTATAGGAATTTGAAATGAGCAGGCCCACCAAGATCGGACGCCTGCAGAGCTCCCGGCGTTTCTCGAGGTGCGAGGCGCCGCCGCGAAGGACGGAGGCGTATCCCTAGTCGACTCAATAGTCACCTCGAGGTGCGATACTAAGGGACTGACGGAGGCGTACCTCGGGGCGAGTAGCCCCATTCGAACGCCATGTCGGGGTGCATCTGCGCGCCGTCCCTGCTCGTCCCTCCCCCTCCCACGCCGCCAGCTGGGCCGCCTGACATTCTTCCAGCTAGTCGCAGTAACGCTGTCGGCTGTGTAGGTTCTTAACGCTCGGAACGAACCCTCGGAGTAACTTCGTGGCACTTTGAACGACGGTTTAGTGGCTAGTGCGTTCAATTGAACGCAGCTGCGAGTAGTCCTAATGCCGTGAGTTGCGAAGTTTCAACTATCACGCCTTCGAAGCAAACTCCAGGCGACTCCCAAGTTGGCTGCTAAGACGACCACCTTCTGAAAATTGCCTCTAGCCGTGAGAGCCGGCACTCGTTAGTTGTCCAATCGAAGGGGCTGGGTAAGTACTTGCTAATGAGATCAGACGTGTGCGTATCGAGAGATATAGCTAACTATTGCCTATGTCACGAGACGCGACAGCGGCGACAGGAATGACACGTGTCAACCTGATAATGAAACGTGCTTTCTGACAGATGTCACTTGAAACCCACTTGAGCAACTTTACACACTGTTGCCTGAGGAAAAGGAAAAGGGAGGCTAACGGGTTATGGAGGCAAGAACTACAGAATCAGATTGCGAGATCGGCATTGAACCAGGGTTCGATAAATAAGCCACGGAGCCGAGAAAAAAGGGATCAACAGATCCATGTTAGGACCTAGAGACGATTGTCACATCAGAAACGCTAGACGGAGATGAACAGTACAGTTATAGGTTGCGCTTGAAACAAAGCAGGAACAAGAAAAGCTGCTCTGAAAGGGAGCGAGAGGAAAGGAAGGCTGGCTTGGCTTCGCTGTGTTGAGTTGTGAGAACTTGAACGAAAACCTGTTTCGGGAATCGGGTCGGGTCGGGACGGGATTGTCGCGTGGGCCCTGGCGGATTCTTTTCGCTGGTGAGGGCTGTCCGAGGGATTGCCGGAATCGAATGGTGATGAGTGAATCGTGGGATGCGATGGTGGGAGCACCAGTGGTGGTGGTGGTGATGATGGGTGATGGTGGCATTCGTAAACGCGTTCCCTTCCAGTCAACCTGGCAATTGAGCAACTGGGAATCTCCTCAGACCCAGATTTTCGTTCTCTGTGATCATCTTGACGCGGAAACAAGCAATAGAATCATGCCACAACAGACTCTGCTTCCTTTATTTTCACGCCCATGGGCAGTAACCCTTTGTTAATTTAAAACCGAGAGCCGTTTAGGACTGCTTCGAATATATAGAGGGTAATGTTCCAAATTCCATTCTCTGTGATCAGTCCGCGGGATTCTTTCGAGATCACAGCACGATTCATAGCCTCCAGCCTCTGGGCGTCTCCTCGATCAAGCCAAAAACGCGTTGAGTGTCGCATTAAGCAAAAGCTTCAGGAAGTGAAATACCAGTGATAGGTGTTGTTTTTCCTCAACTCGCGTCTGCGGGGTTAGATTGGATGACATACGATGCTACTTCCGTCAACTAGGTGTTGGAGGAGCGTCCAGATGATGAGAACTGTTTTTCATCTACGAAATCAAATCTGCTCAGCATCCCAGATGAGGAGATTTATTGCAGGAATGTTCGCCTTCGCCTCTCATCTCAGTTGCACCACACAAAACCTGGGACCTCAAGTTCTACAGTTCAAGCTCGCTCAAAGCTTAATGTACAAGAAGCGAGAGAAGTGTAGCATGCTAAACATAGATATCAGTGACAACGACAAACAATTCATATTGCTTATTGGCCAAGCTCACGGAAAAAAGAGCTGAGTTGCTGCAACCCAATAAGAGCAAGGTCCGCAGCCAAAAACACCACAAGCTGAAACAAGGCACACACAAGGATACCATTAGATAGCTGAAATTCAAAACTGAGTGAGAGCTTGTGAACAATGGAGCTACTACATACCAGTCGGCCAAAAAAGGTGGCACGGTACTGCCATCCCTCAGTTTTGGCAAGGCGGCGTTGAGGATCAGTCCAGCTGCACGAAGAGAGCCAAACAAATATTCAGTGCTTCCCTCAAAAGGCCGACACAACATTTCCTACAGAATATACGTACCCAATGAACTCAGACATGCCTCCAATGCCCGCCAGCTGAAGGGGTACAGGACCCTCCCGCTCGAAGTCCTGTAGTAGCAAGCCACCACAGTGCAACTCAGCAGGTTATCACAACAATTTAATGGGTTGAAGCATTGCACCATCAAACATGTCTGTATTGACGTCAATAATGTGATAAGGTAATGAGCAGGAATATGGAAAGGTGATGATGCCAACATGAAAAACTTATTGCAGGTACCTCGTCACTGGCAGTGTCGAAGCCACCAGTTAGCCAATAGATATTTCTATAGCCAGCCTTGTAAAGGTGCTCACATGCTGCAAGAGATCTGCACGACATTGCAGCACGGAGAGTTGAGTTCAGTGTCGGCTAAGGGCAGTTACAGCAAAAGAACGCGGAATACACACTGAGCCTGACTTTGGAATAAGGAAGTGCCTACCTCAAACCCTTCTGGCACGCAACAATAATGTTGGCACTCTTGGGAATCTTAGCCACAACGTCAGCCATGAATCGCCTGCAAAGAAAGAGCAAAAGGCTGTCATATCAAGACTACAGGAAGAACCCTCTCTAGCAGGAAAGAAACAGGAAGCGAGGAGGGTAGGGAAAGAACTGGCAATCAGAGCTTTACAGGCAAGGCTACGGATGTCACTTATTTTTTACAAATTAGGGTTAAGGATGTTACTCGTAAGCGACTTACTCATTTCTCTTGTTTACTGACGCTCCAGACCACCATCCTCCTGAAACGGCACAAAAGAGTGACAGAACATGGCAAAGTGTACCATAAAATTTGAGCTTATGTGACACGTCAACCACAGCAACAATTCGTCTGATTCCTCTGGTACAACGTGAAGCTAGTCCAGCTCATTTTTGTGCGTTCAGTATTGCGGAAGTGTGTACACGACAACTCGCCTTTCATTGTATCTGGAGAAAATAAACAATTGCAAAGGCCTGAAATCATGTATTCCTCCTAACACAATCTGAATCGCTCAAGGCACTCACCCATCATGAAGGTCATGACTTTCTGGGACAAGACCCCTGGGCTGGCACTGTTGTCGACGTCGAAGGCAGGAATCCACAACGAGCCCTTTACCCAAGCCTGAAACCGATGAAACCAACAGCGGGTTGTCAAAGCGGAGGAACGACTTGGAATTGCAAAAATAGCTTTCCAGTTTACTACGCCACGGTACGCGAGGTTGTCAGCAAAGAGAACCGACAAATTGGAACCCAACCAACCTTGTTGTGCTGATACGACGGTCGCACGTCAAGCAGAACGTAGTCGGACAGCTGGTAAGTGTACCCCGCCTCCTTCGCGGACAACGACTTCACCTTGCCCTCTGCAATCTGAAGAAACAGAAGTTTTAGTTTTTTTTTTCCTAGATATAAAGGAGACAGACATCCGGAAAAAAGTTGATGAACACGCACCTGAGTCCTCCACCTTTTCTCAGCATTCGCAAACTCCACCATTTCCTCTTTCAAATCGGTCGCTGCCATAATCTGCAGATTCTGTGTAGAAATTAGAAACGTAAAACGCAAATTCCGGAGGGGAGGCGATCGAATCACATCGCAAAGTTGGCCGACACGATCTAGCCACAATACAAAAAAAAAATCACTTCGAGGCCAAGATATGCCAACTAAAGCGTACTTTTCTCTGAAAGCTGCGACTCGATGCGTTAGCCGAGGGACGTCTAGAACGAATCTGGAGGGCAGGAAGGCCATAAACGCTTGACGATGCGCACGAGAGGGAGGATTTTCCTGCGGCTGTGCACGCAGTAGGAACGACCAAAGACGCGCCGCTAGCTAGCGCCGCCATTCTGACAGTCCCAACAAACAGCCGAGAGAGAAGGGTCTGACGGGAAAGATCGTATGTCCAAGGCGAGGAAAGAGCAGTGAAGATTGTAGACAACTGCCAGTTACAATCTATGTCGTTCACAGATAGGCAAATCGGAAACTGGGATCAACAATGGCAATTTGTGAGAAAAGGCGCAGGGAGGACGGAGGGTCAAGCAGGGTTACTGCAGCAGGCGAAAAGGGAACCTGCTGGGTTCTGGTTGGGCAGGGTTGGATTGAACAAGGGCAGTGAAATCCAAGTTGTCCGACGTGGCGGAGAATCATACCTGGAGATGTTTCCAGGGCGATTCAATTTGGAACACTTCCCCTCCACGTTGGCACAAAATCTCCAAAAGTGCACCTCTTTCCGTATAAGCAAACGCACATTAGTGTACAGTCCGTCGCATCTTATCACGCAAAAAGTGCGTGCTTCAAACACGCGCAACTTCGATTCTCCCAAGGCTGACCAGCTTCTCTCAATCTGCATTGAGAGTCCCCAAGCTTCTAAACAAATTCATCTATTTCCAGCATTCTGCATTCGATCATCCCTCCTGCATTGCAGCAGCTCGTTAGGCTTTAGCTGCTCGCCGTCGCGTTTTCGGAATTCCGATTGCTGTCCGTAGCCTCGTCCCTCATGGCATCGGCCCTGGCCCCTGCTGCACTTCTCCAGAGCGCTTTCCTCGGCAAGGATCTCAGGTGAGGTAACGGTAACGGTAACGGTAACGGAGCTGAGACCCCAATGTCGGCGGAGTTCGGAGCCGTCGAGCTGCGTTACTTCCTTGCTTGCATTCGCACGCGTGATTTGAGTCTGCATCGTCGACATGACATCTTAATCTCGTTAAACCTGCGTTGTTTCGCTGACATGCGACGTGTTGCTCGCGGTGCTCTGTGCCTGCCTGTCCCAGGCGAGGGCTCGCCGGAATCTCCGTCCGTCCGGCATCGCTGGGTCTGCGTGCGTGGACATCTGAAGGCCAGCGTGCCGTCGGTGTCTCGTCACGAGTGAGTGGATGACGGACACGGACAGATCGCCCCTGGTATCAATGATATACCTTCTCTCAGTTCGTGATGGATGCCCGTCGTTGATCAATGATGGCATCCTATCGGTTTAGGATCAATGCCCGTTCGTTGCAGGATAGACGCCTGTTCCGTGCATGATAGATACCACTTTACATTAAGAACGAACAGCGTTTAAATGGAGCCTCCATTAATAACATCTTATCTCTCTCCACCCCGTCCTCCCGTCCACTTGCTCCCGTGTGGCAAACTCGCAGCAGAAGTCCACGTCAGCCGCACCGCCATCCAAGAAATCGGGTACGACCGTCTCGTCATCTCCCCAAGCTCCCCCGTCATCAGCACTATCCCCCGACTCCCCGCTCCCCTCCCCCCGTCGGCGGAAGCTGCTGCTTGCGTCCGCGCTGCTGCCGCTGGCGTCGCTGCAAGGAAGCGGTTGCGCGCAGGCAGGCGCGGGAGGTGGGGTGGGGGAAGGCGCGGGAGGTGGGGTGGGGGAAGGCGGGGCTCCCTTAGGGGAAGCTGGGGGGAAAGGGGAGGGGGGGGACGAGGGGGAAGAGTGGGTAGATGAGGATGAAGGGTAAGGGGGTTGAGAGGGGGATGGGAAGGGCCCGAGGAAAGAAACGGGGGTTATGGGTTGCTCCTTTTTTGTGTGCGACACATGCATGACATGTCTGTCTCAATTGCCATATGCCTTCATTCCATCCGCGCTCTCCCCCATGCAACAGGCATGGCTGCAGCAGCAGCATCGGCGTCAGCAGTGGCGGCAGCAACGGAGGGGCAATCAGTGGACGCAATAGAAAAGACTCTGCTCATTGTGGGCGCCGGCACGCTTGGGTCACTGGTGGCACAGCAGTGGCAGCAGGTGAGACAGAAAGACCCCCTCCCTCCCCCAGAAGCCCCCGCTTCAGCATAAGCAGTGGCAGCAGCAGCCTCAGCAGTGCACCTCACTGTGCTTTCACTCCCACCAGTATAGTGTGCTGTGCTGCGTCGTGCAACTGCTTCACTGCTGTATTCCGCACTCATTCCGCTTCTCCTGCTCCCCCTCGCTCCACCCTGCCGCCCTTCATTCCCCCGCATATATCTAACAGCCAGTGTGTGTGCCGTCGGGCGCAGTGAGACACCCTCTCCGCCCTCGTCTCGCTCCTTTCTGTCTTCTCTCCACTCCACACTTCGCCCTCCTTTCCCATCGATTCTCCCTGCTCGCCTCGCCTCACCTCGCTGCACCTCTCTTCCACCTTTCTTCCACCTCTCTCCCTCCAACGCTACCCAGGGGCCCAGGTGTACCGGCAGACGTGCTCCCACTCACGCCTCCCCTCTGCCCTCCTCTCTCCTCTCTCGCTCACCCGTCTCTCGCCCCTCTCCCCCCCAGCGCTTCCCAGGGGCCAAGGTGTACGGGCAGACGCGGTCAGACACACGCCAGGAGCAGCTCTGATCTCAGCTTATTTTTCTTCTCTTCACCCTTTTTCCCGTTGCTTCTCTCACCTCTGCACCTCTCTCCACCGCTCGCCCATCACTCTTGTCTACTCACCAGCGCTACCCAGGGGCGAAGGTGTACGGGCAGACGCGGTCAGACACGCGTCACGAGCAGCTCAGGTCCATGGGGGTCTTCCCCATCCTGCGTGACGTCAGCGATGACGCCATCACGGGCGGCGTGCCGTTTGTCATCTTCTGCGCGCCTCCGGGCGGCAGTCAGGACTATGAGGGTGACGTGAGGTGAGGTGCTTTTTTTTTTTCTGTTCTTCTATTTTCTCCCATCGTCTCTTCTCTTCCTCCGCTTCTCTTGCCTCTCCTCCCCTCTCCAACATCCCTCCTTGCCTCTCTGGTCTCCCCTCTCCCTCCTTCCCCATCCGATTGCAGGGCAGCAGCGGCCCTATGGAACGGCACGGGGGCATTCCTCTTCACCTCCAGCAGCGCCGTGTACCTTGTCTCTGGCAACTCCTTCTTTCCTCATGCCCCATGCCCCTCGCCCTTCACATCCACAGGGCAGCAGCGGCCCTATGGAATGGCACGGGGGCATTCCTCTTCACTTCCAGCAGCGCCGTCTACGCCGTCTCTGACAACTCCTTCTGCCCCGAGGGCGCTCCCACCGTGCCGCCCGGCGCCAGCCCGCGTGTCGACGTGCTGCTAAAAGCCGAAGGCGCCGCCCTGGAGGCGGGCGGCAACGTGGTGCGGCTAGCAGGGCTGTACACGCTAGAGAGGGGCGCACACACGTACTGGCTGCGACAGGGGACGGTGGATCAGCGACCAGACCATATTCTCAATCTCATCAGCTATGAGGTATGTGTGTGGCTGTCGTATCATGCATGAGCATCTCTGCCTATGTACACGCTGGCGAGAGGCTGTACACGCTAGAGAGGGGCGCACACACGTGCTGGCTGCGACAGGGGACGGTGGATCAGCAGCCTGATCATATCCTCACCGTATCAGCTACGAGGTACCTGCGCCCTGCCTCCTGCGCCCTGCCTCCTGCCCTCTGCCAGAGTACCCACCTTTCCCCTTACCCCCTGCGCCCTGCTTGATTCCCTCCGCTCCACGCCCCTGTGCACAAGCAGGACGCGGCATCACTGTGTGCGGCCATTCTAGCAGCGCGCCTACGAGGGCAGATCTTCATGGGCTGCGACAACCACCCGCTCTCCAGGTCAGTGCCTCTTAGCACCACCTTCACACTCGCCTCACGATCGCCCACGAGGGTCGATTGTTATGGGATGGGATAAGATAACCACCATCTTTCCTGCTCAGTGCCCCTCCGCACCATCTTCTGTCGCCCGTCAGTTAGCCCCCCAACCGAGTCCCATGTCATACAAATGATGTGGCTTGTGCTGCTCAACATGTCCCTTTGTCCCACTAACCATCTGCCATACACCATAAATCAAACAACCACCACACCCCACACGCACCACCCTCCATGCGAGCAGGCAAGAGCTGATGGAACTGACAGTGAGGAGCGGCCGGTTCGAGGGCGAGTTCAAAGGCTTCACAGGCACAGAGGGGCCGCTGGGCAAGCGCATGTGCAATGATGCCACACGGGCTGCCCTGGGATGGGAGCCCACCCGCAAGAGCTTCGCCCATTTCCTTGGCCTGGAGTCTTAAGAGTTGAATCGGGGACTCTTAAAATAGGCATTCCCTAGGCTATGAGACTCCCTTTCCGGCACAGAGGGGCCGCTGGGCAAGCGCATGTGCAACGATGCCACACGGGCTGCTCTGGGATGGGAGCCCACCCACAAGAGCTTCGCCCATTTCCTTGGCCTCGAGTCTTAGAGTTGAATCGGGGGACTCTTAAAATAGGCATACCCTAGGTTATGAGACTCTCCCTTTCCGGCACAGAGGGGCCGCTGGGCAAGCGCATGTGCAATGATGCCACACGGGCTGCCCTGAGATGGGAGCCCACCCACAAGAGCTTCGCCCATTTCCTTGGCCTGGAGTCTTAGAGTTGAATCGGGGACTCTTAAAATAGGCATTCCCTAGGCTGTGAGACTCCCTTTCCGGCACAGAGGGGCCGCTGGGCAAGCGCATGTGCAACGATGCCACACGGGCTGCTCTGGGATGGGAGCCCACCCACAAGAGCTTCGCCCATTTCCTTGGCCTCGAGTCTTAGAGTTGAATCGGGGGACTCTTAAAATAGGCATACCCTAGGTTATGAGACTCTCCCTTTCCGGCACAGAGGGGCCGCTGGGCGAGCGCATGTGCAACGATGTCACGCGGGCTGCTCCGGGGTGGGAGCCCACTCACAAGAGCTTTGCTCACTTCCTTGGCCTCGAGTTGTAGAGTCGAGACACTGCATAAAGTACATTGGGACATTGTGACATTCTGCTACATACACTAGTCTGATGCACAGATTCATGGCAGCACCACAGCCCAGCCAACACTGCAAACACCCAGCTATACATGACACAGTAGTGACAGCACAGATGCAGTGTGCTGCTCCTACTGCTACCGTATGATTAGAACGCCTGTGCCCTGTGTTCAATATGCTTAATTCTACAAGCCCTGTGGTTAGTGTGCTCATTCAACAAGCCCTGGAGATAATGTGCTTGAACTACAAGCCTGTTGTTAGTGTGCTCAACTGTACAAGCCCTGCAATTTGTGTGCTCGATTCTATGCACCCTGTTGTTAGTGTGCTCATTTCAGCAAGCCCTGTACTGAGTGTGCTAGATTCTACAAGCCCTGTAGTTAAGTGTGCTCGAATCTGCCCTGTTGTTAGTGTGCTCAATTCAGCAAGCCCTGTTGTTAGTGTGCTCGATTCTACAAGCCCTGTAGTTAGCGTGCTCGAAGTACAAGCCCTGCAGCTGGTGTGCTCAATTCTATGAACCCTGCAGCAGCTAATGGGCTCCATTGTAGGAGCCCTGTAGTTAGTGTACTCAATTCTGCAAGCACTGCTGTTATTGTGCTCCTCCTACAGTTGGTGTGCTCGATTCTGCAATTCCTGTAGTAAGTGCTCTCGATTCTACAAGCCCTGTAGTTAGTGTGCCTGATTCTACAAGCCCTGTGGTTAGTGTGCACGAGCCCTGTGGTTAGTGTGCACGAGCCCTGTGGTTAGTGTGCACGAGCCCTGTGGTTAGTGTGCACGAGCCCTCTCAAGTCCTGTGGTTAGTGTGCACGAGCCCTGTCAAGTCCTGTGGTTAGCCGACACAGAGGGTCGCTGAGGTGGGTGGGTCGCTGAGGTGGGTGGGCCGCAAGGGGTGGAAGAGGGAGGGGCAACGCAGGGAGTGCGGGGTAAGGGACAAGGGAAAGGGGGGGTGTGGGGGGAGTCCGACGCAGGCGGGGGGGGGGGGGGGGGATGGGATGGGGGGGAAGGGGGGGATAGCATACCTGAGAGTGTTACTTGGCCTTGTCTCAGTAGGCCATGCCTGAAGTCCGTCCCATGCCACCAATGGCATCCTTGCCTGAATGATTAAATGTAGGAAGGGCGGAGGATATGAGTGCATTCATGAGAAAGGGGCAAGGAAATCAAGGAATGCGAAGGCAGAGAGATGGAGGTCAGAGGAGAGAAGGTGGTACAAGCAGAAGCAAGGGGGAGAAGAATGGCAATGAAAGGCCGTCATCAAGACCTTGGGGCAGAGGAGAAGAGGGTTGAGTGCGCAGCCTTACAATAAGAAGATCCCTGACTGGAGCTCACTGACTGGAGCTCAGGGACTGGAGCTCACTGACTGGAGGTCACTGACTGGAGCTCCCTGACTGGAGCTCACTGACTGGAGCTCCCTGACTGGAGCTCCCTGACTGGAGCTCCCTGACTGGAGCTCCCTGACTGGAGCTCCCTGACTGGAGCTCCCTGACTGGAGCTCCCTGACTGGAGCTCCCTGACTGGAGCTCCCTGACTGGAGCTCCCTGACTGGAGCTCCCTGACTGGAGCTCCCTGACTGGAGCTCCCTGACTGGAGCTCCCTGACTGGAGCTCACTGACTGGAGGTCACTGACTGGAGGTCACTGACTGGAGGTCACTGACTGGAGCTCCCTGACTGGAGCTCCCTGACTGGAGCTCCCTGACTGGAGCTCCCTGACTGGAGCTCCCTGACTGGAGCTCCCTGACTGGAGCTCCCTGACTGGAGCTCCTTGACTGGAGCTCCCTGACTGGAGCTCCCTGACTGGAGCTCCCTGGCTGGAGCTCCCTGACTGGAGCTCCCTGACTGGAGCTCCCTGACTGGAGCTCACTGACTGGAGCTCCCTGACTGGAGGTCCCTGACTGGAGGTCCCTGACTGGAGGTCCCTGACTGGAGGTCACTGACTGGAGCTCACTGACTGGAGCTCACTGACTGGAGCTCACTGACTGGAGCTCACTGACTGGAGCTCCCTGACTGGAGCTCACTGACTGGAGCTCACTGACTGGAGCTCCCTGACTGGAGCTCCCTGACTGGAGCTCACTGACTGGAGCTCCCTGACTGGAGCTCACTGACTGGAGCTCACTGACTGGAGCTCACTGACTGGAGCTCCCTGACTGGAGCTCCCTGACTGGAGCTCCCTGACTGGAGCTCCCTGACTGGAGCTCCCTGACTGGAGCTCCCTGACTGGAGCTCCCTGACTGGAGCTCCCTGACTGGAGCTCACTGACTGGAGCTCACTGACTGGAGCTCCCTGACTGGAGCTCCCTGACTGGAGCTCCCTGACTGGAGCTCCCTGACTGGAGCTCACTGACTGGAGCTCACTGACTGGAGCTCCCTGACTGGAGCTCCCTGACTGGAGCTCCCTGACTGGAGGTCCCTGGCTGGAGGTCCCTGGCTGGAGGTCCCTGGCTGGAGGTCCCTGACTGGAGGTCCCTGGCTGGAGGTCCCTGGCTGGAGGTCCCTGGCTGGAGGTCCCTGACTGGAGGTCCCTGACTGGAGGTCACTGACTGGAGCTCCCTGACTGGAGCTCCCTGACTGGAGCTCCCTGACTGGAGCTCCCTTACTGGAGCTCCCTGACTGGAGCTCCCTGACTGGAGCTCCCTGACTGGAGCTCCCTGACTGGAGCTCCCTGACTGGAGCTCCCTGACTGGAGCTCCCTGACTGGAGCTCCCTGACTGGAGCTCCCTGACTGGAGCTCCCTGACTGGAGCTCCCTGACTGGAGCTCCCTGACTGGAGGTCCCTGACTGGAGGTCACTGACTGGAGCTCCCTGACTGGAGGTCCCTGACTGGACGTCCCTGACTGGAGGTCCCTGACTGGAGGTCCCTGACTGGAGATCCCTGACTGGAGGTCCCTGACTGGAGGTCCCTGACTGGAGGTCCCTGACTGGAGCTCCCTGACTGGAGGTCCCTGACTGGAGCTCCCTGACTGGAGCTCCCTGACTGGAGCTCCCTGACTGGAGCTCCCTGACTGGAGCTCCCTGACTGGAGCTCCCTGACTGGAGCTCACTGACTGGAGCTCACTGACTGGAGCTCACTGACTGGAGGTCACTGACTGGAGGTCACTGACTGGAGGTCACTGACTGGAGGTCCCTGACTGGAGGTCACTGACTGGAGGTCCCTGACTGGAGGTCACTGACTGGAGCTCCCTGACTGGAGCTCCCTGACTGGAGCTCACTGACTGGAGGTCCTTGACTGGAGCTCACTGACTGGAGGTCACTGACTGGAGCTCACTGAGTGGAGCGACTGGAGCTCCCTGACTGGAGCTCACTGACTGGAGTTCACTGACTGGAGCTCCCTGACTGGAGGTCACTGAGTGGAGGTCACTGACTGGAGGTCACTGACTGGAGCTCCCTGAGTGGAGCTCCCTGACTGGAGCTCCCTGACTGGAGCTCCCTGACTGGAGCTCCCTGACTGGAGCTCCCTGACTGGAGCTCCCTGACTGGAGCTCCCTGACTGGAGGTCCCTGACTGGAGGTCCCTGACTGGAGGTCCCTGACTGGAGGTCACTGACTGGAGCTCCCTGACTGGAGCTCCCTGACTGGAGCTCCCTGACTGGAGCTCCCTGACTGGAGCTCCCTGACTGGAGCTCCCTGACTGGAGCTCCCTGACTGGAGCTCCCTGACTGAAGCTCCCTGACTGGAGCTCCCTGACTGGAGCTCCCTGACTGGAGCTCACTGACTGGAGCTCACTGACTGGAGCTCACTGACTGGAGCTCCCTGACTGGAGCTCCCTGACTGGAGCTCCCTGACTGGAGCTCACTGACTGGAGCTCCCTGACTGGAGGTCACTGACTGGAGGTCACTGACTGGAGGTCACTGACTGGAGGTCACTGACTGGAGGTCCCTGACTGGAGGTCCCTGACTGGAGCTCCCTGACTGGAGGTCCCTGACTGGAGCTCCCTGACTGGAGGTCCCTGACTGGAGCTCCCTGACTGGAGCTAACTGACTAGAGCTCACTGACTGGAGCTCCCTGCCTGGAGCTCCCTGCCTGGAGCTCCCTGCCTGGAGCTCCCTGACTGGAGGTCACTGACTGGAGGTCACTGACTGGAGGTCACTGACTGGAGGTCACTGACTGGAGCTCCCTGACTGGAGCTCCCTGACTGGAGCTCCCTGACTGGAGCTCCCTGACTGGAGCTCCCTGACTGGAGCTCCCTGACTGGAGCTCCCTGACTGGAGGTCACTGACTGGAGGTCCCTGACTGGAGCTCCCTGACTGGAGCTCCCTGACTGGAGCTCCCTGACTGGAGCTCCCTGACTGGAGCTCCCTGACTGGAGCT